GCCCCGGGGACTGCCCAGACGCTGAGGGGGGGCGGGATGCCCCGGCTCGGGAACCTCCCCCGAGGCCCCCCCAGAGCTCTCTGGCGGCCAATTTGCCCGGCCAACCCGGGCGAACAAACGTGAGCCAGTCCCTCCTCCTCCAGGAAAGGAATCGGCCCCAAGGGCGGGTCTATGGACGGCCCCCTGCGCCCCAACCCCCACCCGGGGCCAGGACTCCAGAAACAGACGTCCGGAGCCCCAAGCTGGCTCTCTGCCTCTCGGTCCCTCGCTCACTCTCCCTGGCAGTGATCCTGAGGGAAGCAGGGATCCGGAAGGAAGCAGTATTCTGGAGGGAAGCAATGATGGGGGGCAGCAGGGATGCGGGGATCTAGTGACCTGGAGGGAGCAGGACTCCTGAGAAGGAGAAACCCTGCAGCCAATTGGTGCTCAGGCCGAAGGCTGTGAGTGTCACCCGCCACCTGCCAGCGAGGGCAGGGCACACGACGGTGCCTGAGAGCCGTGGTCCCAGGGCACGTGGCCCCGTAGCCCCGGGGTCCCTGGCCACAGGCCCGTGGATGGCCGACCGGTCAGGGAGGGTAGCCCGAGCCTGAACTCGTGCGCAATCCAAGAGCCAACCCGAGGGGACGGGCGGCCCCAATGGAATCGAATTCCACGTCCTGAGCGACTCTTGAACAACGGGTCCCTCACCGCCATCGGGGGTCGTTGACGGGGAACCTGGGTGGGGGCGGGGGGAAGGGCAGCCCTCAGGCCCCCGCCGTCTTGGCTTTCCCTCCCGAAGTGAGGCCAGCGGACGCGTGTCCGGGGTCAGCGGAAAACCCTCTTTTCTATAAAACGCGTGCTTTCTAAAGAGAAAAATCATGGTTTCTTACTTTTCGAGCCTTCTTCATCCCATGTTGAACTGCCGTCTGTGACCCCGCTAGCTGTTGTCCTTAGAAGCGACGAGCGAACTCTGACCTCAGGCACCTGCCGGCGCGGCGCCTACGGCGGGGGGCGGGGCGATGGCGTCACCGTTCTTCCCAGCGTCCTCTGCGCCGGGCGCGGGGGCGGCGCCTCCTCCACGTGGACGGCCCGCCGGCGACCACGTGCTCGCTCGCCGTGCTCCCGCGGCCACTTCGCGGTGTCGGCCAGCAGCAGCGTTGGAGCCTGTCCGTGTCGCCTGCCTGCTGGGGGCCAGCCCTCACCCCCTGTACCCCCCCTCCCACCGCCATGACACCGTCCCATCCGGCACAGTTGGCCCTCGGCTGCTCCGGGTTGGTGGTTCGGATCCATCCCGCGGAGCGGTGCAAGAAAAGTCGCCATGGCGAGCGACTTCAGTCAGGTCACAGCCACCCAGACCGGATGGAGCGCGAAGTTATGCCCTGACCCCACAGCAGTGGGTGCCCAGGCCGATGGAGTACGGTGGACCCTGTGGGCCCAGCATTCGCCAAGGCCCCAAGACCTCCCTTCTGTTCCTTCCGGAAGGCAATGGGGCCGACTCGCCCTCACAGGCCCCCTCCCCGCCCGCTGCCCCTGGCGTTTCTAGAACATCATGGAGAAAGCTGTGGTCCAGTAAATCCTACCTCTTGCCCGGACGCAGGCAGAGAACACAGGGCCCCCTCTGGGGACCAAGAAGGACGGGAAGGTGGGGAGACAGCAGAGGAGAACAACCTCAGACCTTCGGCCTTCTCGCAGTCGCGCCCCATTGCCTCCCGCGCCAGGCCGCGGGGACCTGGCCTCTACAGCCTCCTCCTCTCGCCGCATCTTAGCCTGGGCTCCCCCCCGGACGAGGGGGCCTGAGCGGTCTCCCCTTTCATCCAAGAAGGGGTGTCGAGGCCTGTGCCCACCTCTCTCCCACCTCTCCCATGACCCCCTCCCGCCCCTGTGTGTTTCGCCATTTAAGCACCTTGTGAATCCTGTACCTACTACCGGGTTTGGGTTGTTTGTTCTTTTTTTTTTTTTTTAATGAAATAAAAACATTTTCAAAATGTTTTCTTCCTGGTGTGTCTATAGGGTGGGGGTCCTTTGTTGAAGGGGATAAAAGAGACCCCCACATCTCAACTGTAGGCTATAGCAGTGGTTCTCAACCTTCCTAATGCCTCCACCCTTTAAAACAGTTCCTCATGTTGTGGTGACCCGCTCGCCCCAACCATAAATTTATTTCCGTTGTTCCTTCATCACTGTAATTTTGCTACTGTTGTGAATCAGGCGACCCCTGTGAAAGGATCATTCGACCCCCAAAGGGGTCAGGACCCACAGGTTGAGAGCCGCTGGTCTATAGGCTGCATCTATAAGGAGCCCTGGTGGTGCAGTGGCTACACCTTGACCTGTGATCCACATGGTCAGCAGTTCGAGACCACCAGCAAGCTCCATGGGAGAAAGACTGGGCTTTCTACTCCCATAAACAATAACAGTCTCGGAAACCCCACAAGGGGTTGCTACGAGTCAGCATCGCCTCGATGGCAGCGAGTTTGGTTTTGGTGTAATCAAGTCTGAAACAGGACAAGGAGAAAGAGAATTCATTTGAGGATGAGGGAGACCATCAACATGAGGTCATCATGGCGTCCAAGGAGGTACAGAAACCCAGGCCCTTAAGTAGGACATGGGAAGACGATGGAAACACACAAAAGCATGACTGGAGGCAGAGCAGTACATCACAGTTGCAGGTGGGACTGCAGAAGTGGGGTGGGACCATGATTGGGGCACTACAATACGCCAGACAGGAGAGCTTACAAAACGGATCCAGAGCTCGCCCACCAAAGCTATGAGGGCATGACGCACGACCGTGGGACCCCAGTACCCCAAAGTTCCATCAGGAGCAAGCCCAGGCAAGCCCCTAAGGGTGGTCCTCTCTCACTGGACTGGCTGAGGGAGTGGTAGTAACTCACTTTCTACAGTGCTACCTGCGGGCTTGTGGGCAGGCTGTTCACATTGCTGGCCAAATGGTCAGAAATGATTAGATGGGGGCTTAATCCACATAAAGACTCAAATGGATTTAGGGCTGTAACTGCAAACCCCGATGCTCAGAATTTAAGCTCCAGTACACCTTCAAGTCATGGTGGCCATTCAGAGTATAAGCGGTGGCCCTGGGGCTGGGTATACTGGGAGCCCTGTAGGAGAAGTGTCAGGGAGGAGAAGGAGGGTGTGGAATCTGTACCGGTCAAAGGAGGTTTCTTGGGGGGAGCCTTCTCTGGCTTTGACGGGGTCACAGACAAACTCCCCAGCTCCGCTGACTGGTTTCATTTGGACTCCTGCGGAATGGCTTTCGGGTATCTTTACAGGTGAGCCAGAAAGCAGACAACCTTTGCCCAAGGTATGCTGTGAGCACCCAAGCAGCTGAACTAACCGAGGTCTGTCTGCAGAACAGAATAGCTTCAGAGGCCCCATGCAGCTTGACGACAGTTCTAAGAAGCCCACTAAGCATTTCTTCTGCAGACTGAAAGGTGCAGAAGGGAATGTCGGTGTCAGGTATCCAGACGTGGGCTTGAGGGCTAGTGAGGAGACCCTGGGTGGTGTCACTGGTCAGTGTGCTCCATGTAGGACAGAGGCCGGAGATTGAACACCCCCCGCCCTCAAAAGCACCTTGAAAGAAGGGCCTGCCCATCTCCTTCCCACAAAACCAGTCGTTGAAGACCCCACAACCATAGAAAGGATTAGAAGCTTTTCCACACTCTTTGCCTGGCTGCGTGATCTGATGTCCACTGCCTGAGATGGGCACATGGGTGAAACTGATATGCCCAGATGTGCTGAGAAACCAGGGCCTGGGGACCCACCCAGTGGCCCCCAGCATGGCTCTGGGCCAACCACTCTGGCATCCCAGAATCAACACTGACAGGTGTCCACGCTTTGTGCCAGAATGTTTGCATCTCTGGTTGATTCTGAGCCCCCAAGACACTCTGGCTTAGCCCTCACTCTGTGACATGGTCTTCAGGGTAGGAGCCATAGGGTCACATGCTTAGTTCAACGCTGCCTCCCTAACTCAAGAGTTAGACCTTCAAGAACTGTCATTGAAATGCATGTTCCAGGTCCTAATTAAAGTACTGCTCAGAGCCCCCCCCCCCTGCCCCAGCTGCCCCGATCCTGCCCTTGTATAACTCTGAGTAGACTGTAAATGCCTCGACAACAGACAATAGCTTCATATAATAGGAGTTTATTTGTCGCTCATATAAAGTCCAGTCAACTGGAAGATCCACACAGTCACCCAGGGATCCAGATACTCATGCTTTGAGGCTCTTCCACTGCATTCAAGGTTGCTGTGAGCATTGACACCCTACAGGCAGATGGAGAGAGGGGAGTGGATTTTTATTTAAGCATTGTGAACTTTATTATGGCAGACATAGGTTAAAATGTAATATCTTATCATTCGATCTCCCTTTTGACCCATTTGAAAGTTACTTTTATTTTAAAAAGCATTTTTAATTAAATACTTTTATTGGGTGCTCTTGCATCTCTTACCACAATCCACACATTCATCCGTTGTGTCAAGCACATTTGCACGTATGCTGCCATCATCATTTTCAAAGCATTTTCCCTCTACCTGAGCCCTTGATATCAGCTCCTCTTTCCCGCCCCCCCCCAAGGGGAGTGGATCTTACAAGAGGTTTTAATGACCTAGAAGTCGTGAATTGCACAAATGACACTGGACAGAAGTCAATCACATGGTCACCTTGATTGTGCAAGGGATGATGGGACGTGTCATTGCACCCAGAAGGAAAGGCAAAACAGTGTGGGGAACAGCTGGCCACTCCCAGTCCGGGGTCTCTGCCTTTGGGGACCTCCCCCTGCCCTCCTGTACTTGGTATTTTTTGAGGGCTCCTGGGAAAGTGATTCCTTTGGCTGGGACTGTCCCCTTCTCTGCCTGAGCCCCTCCTTCCGCTCCCACATGAACCCCGGGCTCTTCTCTGTTCCAGATGCCCCTCTAAAATGGGGCCAGGCTTCCTTCTGCCCAGGCTAGAGGAGTGGACGCAACTCTCAACTTGGCTGGTCTGACGACTGCAGAAGCAGCAGTCATAGCTGGGTTCATCACCCGGGGCCTTCACGTCAGGACGGAAGCCGGGGGTGCAGGGAAGAAGAAAGGGGAGGGCAACATCTTGGGGACTCTTTGCAACGATCACCAAAGGGCAATACCACTAGCCTGGGGCTTCTTAGCTGAGGGTGAGCCACCTTGGCTGTCACCATGGGGGCAGGGTGAAGGTGGAGGTTGCTAATGGTATCTAGGAAGTACAGGAGGGTGGGGGGAACCTGCAGCTAGACAGCCTACCTCCCAAGAACGACCCAGGCCAAAACACCAGCGAATCTCAGGGTGGCTTTACAGTGAGGTGGAGAAGGCTCGGGAGGGGCTGCCACTCACAGGAGGTCACCCCGCACGTTCCCTCAAGCTGTGTTTTCCAAAGCCGTGGCCGCTCTGGGGAGACGCCTGTTTTCATTGCCCATGTTTCCTTTCCCTGTCTCCTCTGAGCTGGCATTTTCAGAAACGGAGCTGGGGGCTGGAGAAGGAAGTGGGAAAGGGGTGAGTAGGGTGGGTGATGTTCCTTGAAGCCTGGTTGCTGCGTTCAGGAGCAGAATGCTGGCATCAAACCAGACAGGGGGTCGGAGAACAGCCCCAGAAACCTGATCCAACCTGGCAAGGGGGCTCACTGAGCGTCCGCATCCACCCACAGCCGGTGGCTGCAGTCTGCCAGGGGTGCCTGGGATCCGATCCCCGCTCCTGCACTCTCCTGCTGCCTCTTTCACAACACACACACACACACACACACACAGACACACACACACACACACCCGCTCCTGCACTCTCCTGCTGCCTCTTTCACAACACACACATACACACGCACAGAGCATGGTAAAACCACTCCCCACCAAGGGTGCCGGGAGACTGAGTTCCACTTTCAACAAGAGAGCACCCCTCAGTGCCTCCAACTTGGCAACTGATGTTCCAGCAAGTGCGCTAGCGTGCTTGCCATGCGCGTGTGCTGACCGTGCCCAGTTCTGGAAGAGTAGAGACGCTACGGGTGCCCGCTGCTCTGAGGTGGGAGAGGGAGGTTACCACAGGCACTACTGCTCCAGCGGCTACAGGCCATTCACCTCTGCCCTCTGCTCTTGTTCTTTCCTGCAGGCATCCTGGTCCCATGCTGGCTGCCAGCACTCAGTGCCCTGTGGCCTCAGCTGCAGCCAGGTGGGGTTCTGCTCTGGGTCAGAGCTGGCACCGAGGTGGCATGGGGTGCAGAGTGGGGAGATCATCTGCATGAACAGAGCTACAAAGCAGCCATGTGACCTCACTCCTGACACTGGTCCCCAATATAGCACCCTTGACACACACACACACACACACACACACACACACACACACACACACCCCGCTGAGGCTACTCAGGGAGGGCCCTGATCAGAGGGGAGACCGTGCAGGTTCACCTGACACAGATATTTTTAAACTTGCAGCTTCCAACAAAACGGCTGGTGCAAACACGGGAGTGGAAGTCTTGGACCCAGCTCCTGTGCGGATTGGACTGGGGCTCAGAGAGGACTCTGGTCCGGATGGCTGTCCTCCAACGAGCATTCTGGAAGACACACTGACCCCTGCAGGATCCCAGAGGACACCACTCAAATCATGATGTCCGGGTTTCTTTTCTTTTGACAAGTAACCATCCCCCCTCCCACCCTCCCCTAGTTAAAAAAGTAATAACACTTGACTTTCAAAAATCTGAAAAGTCAAAGAAACAAAAACCAGAAGGGTCGAAGGAAGCAGCCTCAGCCTAAATCTCACTACTCAAGAGTGTCTCCCGAGCTGGAACCGACTCACGGGGTGCGTGAGGACAACCCCGGAGTCTCTCTCCACCTCAAGACCCGGACTGTACCCCCACCTGCTGAGGTGAGCCCCTCTTGCTGCGGAGGAAGTATAGTCGCAGGTTCAGGGGTTAAGCTGTAGACATCGGGGGTTAAGGCGATTGCATCATTCTGCCCGCCCCACACATTGATTGACAACTGTTTGATTTGCTCCAAGAGCCCCTTGCAGCTCAGGGGCAGGAACCGAGCAGGTGACAGATGAGATGGAGCATATGGGTGGGGCTCTTCCAGGAGGGAAGGATAGGAGAGAGAGAGGCCCGGGCACTGACTGTGCTGGGAGAGGTGGTGTAACAGGACCACCTGCCCAGTCTAGGCTGTGCAGGATGGCTTTGCAACCAGGACGGTGATCTAGAGGAGAGAATGGCGGGGCCGTGAAGGGCTCCGTGGGGTCAGGGAACAGGTGGAACACTTGGAGTTGGGGTCAGAGAGGACAAGGGCCCTGAAGACCCAATGAAGGGTGAGAAATCAGGTGTCAGGCTAAGGTCCAGGTGGGGAGCGAAGGTCAGTGCATCTGCGGGGGCGGGGGCGGGGGACATAGCAGAAAGAGGCTGGCCAAGGCACTGCTGTGGCTCAGTGTGGTGGTGCCGGGGCTTGGCTCACAGGAACCTGGGAAACAGGAGCTGCAGTGTATCAGGCACTCTGGGGGATGCTCAGGAAGGGCTTGTGGACACGGCAGCAATAGGAAAGGGTCCGGCTGGTCTTGTGTGGCCCTCCGAGAAGAGTCTTCCCAGGGAAAGTGGAGGAGCAAGTGTGTGAGGTGTCAACATCCCATCCCTGCGTTCCGCACCAGCTCTGAGCACAGGCTTTGCTCCTGAGGCCGCACTGGCGTTTTGTGGGAAACTGCAAGTTTAAACATCCTGGTACCGGCATGTCTGCCCTAGCCTCCTCGGGACAGGAAGGCCCTCGGATCCTCTGCTCTCCCTTTCCAGGCCCGTGCTTCTGGGGGCCGGGCGCCTCTGGAGACAGGGCACCTCTGGGGACTGGGCACCTCTGGGGATGGGGTGCCTCTGGGGACTGGGCACCTCTGGGGACTGGGCACCTCTGGGGTTAGGGAATCCCTGGGGATGGGGTGCCTCTGGTGACTGGGCACAGGTCTGGGCAGCCAGGTCACTGCATGGGGAACCTGAGCAGGAGCCCATTCAGACACAATGAGTGGCCTCATGTATCCCAGGGAGGTGGGAAGTGAGAGAGGGGCTTCGGAGATGCAGGGGAGCCCTGCCTGGAGTCAGGGATGGGACTGCGATTGGGAGGGGGGGTGGCACCAGAGACACCAGGACAGAGTGGCCAGGGTCATGTCTCCACGCCACGCCTCTGCCCTTCTTGAACCCAAGCTGGCTTCTGGCCACCCCGTTAAAGGAGCCCAATGGTTAAGTGCTCGACTCCTAACGAAAAGGGCGGAGGTTCGAGCCCACCAGGTGCTCTGAGACAGACAGACCTCGCAGGCTGCTTCCAAAAAGACCCACTTTCTGGATAGCCTTGGAAACCCATGGGACAGTTCCACTTTGTGCAACAGAGTCGCGATGAGTCAGAATCCCCGTGACGGAACACAAGAACAATGATTGGTCCAATATAGTTTCTTTTTAAATCACTGCATTGGGGGATTATCATAATCCAGCCACACATCTATTGTTCAAGCACATTTGTACATATGTTTGCATCATTTTCAAAGCATTTTCTACTTGAATCCTTGGTATCAGCCCATTTCCCCCCCTTACCCTCCCGCCCTCATGATCCCTTTATAATTTCTAGTCTTTTTTTTAACTTTCTTACACCAACTGCTGTCTCCCTTCACCCACTTTTCTGTGGTCCATCATTGTGATCAGTTCCCCCTTTCTCCCCCCACCTTCCCCTTACCCTCCTGGTATAGCTACTCTTATTATTGATCCTGAGGGGGTTATCTGTCCTGGATTCCCTATGAGTCCAGCTCTTATCTGGACCCGTGTACATGCTCTGGTCTAGCCAGATCTGTAAGGTAGAACTGGGGTCATGATAGTGGCAGGGAGGAAGCATTAAAGAACTGGAGGAAAGTTGTAGTTTCATCGGTGCCTCACTGCACCCTGACTGGCTCGTCTGAGACTGTCACTCTTTATGGGAGTAGGCAGCCCTGTCTTTCTTCCTGGAGCGGCTGGTGGTTCTGAACTGCCGATAGCAGTCCAGCACATAGCCAGTAAGGCACCAGGGCTCCTTCCATAAAGAAGGACCGTCTTGGAAACCCACCGGAGCAGTGCTACCCTGTCGCACCGAGTCGCTGTGAGTCAGCATTGGCTTGAGGGCAGAGAGTCTTCTTATTCTCCCCCTCTGGTCCTGAAGACCCTCACCCTTGGAGTCTGGCCACCATGCTGAGAAGAAGCCCCCACCCTCCACCCCACCCCAATAAAAGCCCAAAGCACCGTGGAGATTTAGACTGGAAGGGTGCATCTGAGGTCTTGCCAGTGGCCTCCACTGCTGGACACCAGGATGAATGAGCTCCTAAATAATTCCAGTCTCCATTCATCGAAATTTCTAAGGCATCAGGCAGACCCTGTGCAGTGGAGAGGAGCCATCCTATAATTTGAAGAAACCATGAAACCCAAAGTGAACATTTAGCTCCATGGAGTGCTCAGGGTGGTGGAGGGGTGGGGGGTGGCCTTTACCAAATGGTTATTGCACTCGGCTGTGACCACCCAGAGGGACCTCTGCAGAAAGGCCTGGTGATCTCCTTTTGAGAAATCGGCCTTTGAAATGCCTGTGGAGCCTAGCTCTGCCCTGACACACAAGCCTGCCATGGGCCAGGGCCAACTGCATATCAATTGTTGTTTTTAATGCCTCTAAATGTGGGTGAGTTTGCTACACCCTCCTACCCCCTGACACACTTGGGGGTCACATTTTCAGTGGCTAGATGTGAGCTGGTGGGGAGAGGGCGATGGAACAATATCCACGGTGACAAGGGACTCAGTGTGAAGCTATTGATTAGCTTTGGGGCAGGGATAGGGGAAAGGGGTGCTGCCACGCTAGCCAGGCCACACGGAGTGAATGGGGGTAGGAGTGGTGACTGCGTCTGGAGGTGGGCAAGGAGGCCCGATCTCCTCATGGGCCTCCAGCATGAAGCTGGAGTCAGACGTTCCCAGGGGCAGGTCACCAGATGGCCCCAGAATGCACTAAGCAACCCTTCGCGACTCTGGTCCTACTCGGACACCATTTAAGGTCTGGGGGGGCAAATGACCTGTGCCCAAATGCAAACACTGGCTAGAGGAGGCTTCTCTGTCTTATGCACCCACTAGACAGCCTCTGCAGCTCACTGCCATTCAGTCCATGCTGACTCAGTGCCTTCTCCCACAGAGCGCCTGGCGGCTCCTGACCGCTGACCTTTCAGTTAGCAGCCCAAGGTGTAACCACAATGCCATCAGGGCTCCTTGGCCTCCGAAAAGATGTGCAAGCATCTTTTTTATTTTTTAATTTATTGATCATTTTATTGGGGGACTCTTACAGATCTTATAACAGTCCATCATTCAATAGTAGTAAGCACACTGGTCCATAGGTTGCCATCAACATGTCCAAAACATTGTCTTTGTACTTGAGCCCCTGGTATCAGATCCTCCTTTTGCTCCTCCCTCCCGCGCCCTCCCACCCTCGTGAACCCTTGATCAATGAGCTATTGTTATTTCATGTCTTACACTGTCCATCGTCTCCCTTCTCTCAGGTGGAAGCTTCTTCTGGTGATCAAAGACCAGGTCCCAAGCCGCCTCACCGCCCCCACGACCCCCCAGCCCCAGCCCCCGTGGGCGGCTCATGGCTCACATTCAGGGTCTTGCAGTGGAAAGACACACCTGGGTTGTCCTCACTCACGGCTGTCGATTCCAGCACGCCATGACGGCAAGTCTCTCCTGAGTAGGGAGATTTAGGTTGAGACGGCTTCCTTCCAGGTCTGGGTGGTTTTGCTCTGTTGGCCTTGTGCGGCTTTGCGTGGGAAACGACTGACCGCACTGCCACGGCGACCACGGGCACCGCCTGCACCAGCCTTCAGCTCTCCTTCCCCTTCGTGGACCCTCTTTGTGTGGGCCTGTCCTGCGGGGAGAGGCTGTGACATCAGACCCCGGGTCACAGAGCAGGACTGCCCGAGGCTCTCCTAGGCTGTGCCCTTCACGAGGCTAGATCGTCAGCCCTTTCTCCTGAGGAGCCACCGGCCTTTGGGGTAGCAGCCAAGTGCCACGCTTGGGCCACTAGGCTCCTTGGGCCTCAGTGGAGCTGGTGTTGACACTGCCCATTCACGTTAAAATAAACGTGAAAGCCTAGGGGTTGAGAAAAGCCTGCCCCCCTTCCCATCCTGCCACCCCCAGAGGCCTCAGGCTCCCCAGGGGCTCTGCACAGGTGGACACGGCAGAAGCACTGCCGGCCCTTCGGGTGCCAGCCCTGCGTCCCCATGGTTCTTCACTGCACCAGATGAGCCTACCCCAGGAAGCCCAGCCCCTCCCAGGAAAGGCTGGGTGGTCGCTGCAGTGGGGAGGGTCAGAGCTGACTGGCTGGAGGTCACACGGAGTCCTGGGTGAATGGTGCTGGGGAGAGGTGCCTACCTCACAGAGTCTCTGAGCAGGGCAAGAGGTTAAACACTAGTCTCCCAACCGTAAGGTTGGGGGTTCAACCCCTCCCCCAGAGGGGGCTCCGGATGCAGGCCAGGAGCTCTGCTTCTGAAAGGTCACCACCTTGAAATCCCTGTGAAACTCTTCTCGCCCCCCACCCAACACACACACACATACGCACACACGGATCACCAGAGTCACAGTCGTTGGATGTCAATGGCAGCCATAGCAGTGTAACCATGAACTAGAACAACTAAGTGCTACATGGGACAGTGGACTGGCTCCAGGGAGAGGATCGGAGCTGAACAGAGACGGCCCAGGGTGCTAGGGAACATCAGCATCTGGGGGGTAGGGGCAGAGCCCCCCAACTTCCCACTGCACACGCCTGTCAGAAGCCAGAGCAAGTCATGTCGTACCCTGAACTTCACAAAACCACCCGTCGCCTGCCAGGCTGCTCTGCAGATACCGCCTGCCTCCCTAAGAGGCTCTGAAAAGCTGGAGGGGGGCACAGGTGACCGGCAGCCCTGGGACCCCTTGGCTGAAGGACACTGCCACCTCACAGTTCTCTGAATTGAGCAGTGGCGGCAAGAGGGAGGTTTGGGTGGGTTGGAGCACGCCAGCTTCTTTATAGTCGGTTCTGACTACTCACCAAGGCCATCCCTCACTTAATTAAGCCAGAGCCTGAAGTCAGATCAACAGAGTGTTAGCACATTTGTCTGGCTCCCAGCGGGACACGCTCACCCTGGTTCACACCCATCTGGCTCTGGGGCAGGACTGGTGATGGTAGTGGTGGTGTTTTCCTGCTATCAGAAGTCAGCCCTTCTTGGGACAAATGAAAACAAGTTCAGTTTGACCAGCCAAATACAGAGTGCTCCCTGTGAGGGGGGGGAGGGTGCTCCCCCACCTTGAAGGCCACCTGTCAATTGCGCTAGGTCTCAGGAGGATAGTTCCTTCTGCTTGTTGTTGTTTTTAAAGGAATGTTTGCCCTCTTCCCTTCATTTTTTCCTAACCGTCCTCACTACTTAATATCCAAAACATTCGCTCGCCCAGACAAAAACGCTCCATCGATGCAGCCATGCAGCCAGCTGCCCTGAAGTCCACGCCGATGTCTGGTGACCCTGTGGGTGTCAGGAGAGGGCTGCGCTCCGTGCAGCATTCAGTGGCTGAGTTTCCAGAAGTCGGTTGCCAGCACTTTATTCAGAGGTGCGTCCAAGGGGACCCCAATCTCCCACCTTTCAGTCAGCAGTTGAGTGTTTTGTTCATGGTTTATGAGCCCACCCCCCACCCCCACCCCTACCCGGCTGGTGCCTCTTACTAAGCAATAAACCCAAACCCAAACCCAAACCCACTGCCACCGAGTTGATTCTGACTCATGGTGACTGACCCTGTACAGGGTTTCTGAGACTGTAAGTCTTCACCGAACACACCATTTTACCTTTCTCCCCGGGGGACACCTGTGGGTTTGACCGGTCCACCTTGGGTCAGCACCTCACTGCTGAATGAAGCAAGAGACCCTCACTGAGCTGCTTCCTGACTAAGCAATGGCCTCTCCGAGCTAGTCCACCTAAGTGTGGTCACAGGATATTTTTGCATCTTCCTTGTGAACTGGGCATCACAGAGGGTGATTGTATGCTCCCAAGGTAGCTCTCAGACCCTTGAGACAGATGCACTTATCAATCCAAGTGGTCCTGGTCTGTCCTGGTGGTCCTTTAGATCATCTGTTGTGCATTTCTGCCCTTTTCTTTCCTCCAGTCCATCTGTCCGTCCATCATTCATCCATCTACCCATCCACCCATCCATTTGCCTATCCATTGATCCATCCGTCTATCCATTGATCCATCCACCCAACCACCATCCATCTATCTATCCAACAATCACCCAACAAGCATTTATAAAAAACTCTGTTTGAGCTCAGATCCCAGCTGAGCTCCGCCGAGAGGGGCCCAGAAGAGGATGGAACAGCCTTGCCCACCCCACTCTCGGAAGCCTATAAAGCCATCGGAGGCAAAGGAGACATGTGTGACCCATATGGAATAGCAGTGGCCACCTGGCTGGGTGATCTACCACAGGCTAGGTGGGAAAAGGGCGTGATCACTCATCTTTACGTCGGTCTCCTGGCCTCAGGCCCTGCCGGTGGGGTGCTTCATCTCCCATCTCCAGTGGGGCCAGCATAGGGTCTCCCCCGCTGGCCCAACAGAGCAGCCATCTGAGCAGGTGTCCCCCAGTGGCCTCGTGAGACCCGTACAGTCTGTTTGAGAAGCTTTTCCATAAACCAGGAGGAGAAGGCAGCCTTGCCTGCAATCCCAAGCTGCCAGCCCTCGGAGACAATTTCAAGAGCAAGGGCCGTCCATCTTTAACTCCTGGCCGGAGGACTTGGGACCCCTGCAGGCAACACAGACACGCTCTGGCTGTGCCCACCTACCACGCCGGGCTTCTGTAGCAGCTGTGATGTTCTGACCCAAACTCAGAGAACCTTCTGGGTTGGTTCTGAGATCCTTGAGCTCGCAACAGCGGAGAACTTAGCAAGCCCCCACCCCCACCCCCCGCCCCAAATTGTTCACACCCTGTAGCCTACATCCTCGCTCACTGCCATCAAGTGGATACGAACCCTAGTGACCCTACAGGGCAGAGTCGAACTGCCCAGTGCATTTCTGAGACAAACTCTTTGCAGGATAGAAAGCCCCGCCTTTCTCTCGAGGAGCAGCTGATGTCTCCAAACGGCTGACCTTGCCGTTAGCAGCCCAGCGTGTTAACTACTACGGCACCATAACTGCTTGTAGCGTGCACGCGCGTGCGCCTGAACCCTGTGTTGCGCGTCTGTTGGCACCCTTAGTACAAGACTATGGTCTCGTCTCTGGGTCTCCTGTGGCAATTCTCGCAAACGCTGTCACCATGCGATCGCACACTTCACAGAGCCCACCCAGCATCGTGGAAACGTCATTTCCATATGCCTAGGAAGCAATGGAGAAAACCGTGTGACCCACTGTTTGCTTTGTGGTGTTGGCGGGGAACCCAGCCCACAATCTCGCCAAAGTTGGCCTGTGTTCTGCCTTCAAACTCCCGAGCCTTCTGCTTGCTCCCTGCCTGCTGCTTGGCTGTGCACCTGGCACCCAGTAGCTGTCTCACGTCGCCCTGTGCCCTTGGCCCAGAACCACCTGGCCTGTCTGGCTCCATCTGGGGTCCCCCGAGGCTGGGCCTACACAGTGACCGAGAGACTGTGTTCCATGTGCCTGGGGAGAGGGTTCACTTGCTGACAACAGTTGCCCCTGAGCTAAGGCGGACAGGTCAACAAGTCATTCTGAGAACCTGTCCGTTGTGATGGGTCAGCCGTGCTGGAACCTGGAATCTTGGGCAGTGTTCACCTGGATGCGCCCAGCTGCTGACCGAAAGACTGGAGAGTCACAGCTGGTGAAAGAGCCTGGGAAGAAAGGCCCCGTGGTCTGCCCAGGTCCCTCTGCGAACAAACAAACACACCCTCCAGTCGGTGCCGGCTTGTAGGGACCACCCAAGGGAACAGGGCAAAACTGCCCCTGTGGGTGCCTAGGACTGTAACTCTTCCTGGGAGTAGAAAGCCTGATATTTCTCCAGAAGCAGCTGGTGTTTTGAACTGCTGACCTTGCAGTTAGCAACCCAACATGTAACCACTACCCCACCAGGGCTCCTAGGTGGATTCAAACTGCCAACCTTTCTGTTCGCAGCCCCACGCATTAACTGTTTGCTCCACCCGAGTACTCCAGCCTCCTATTAAAATAACCCTCTGCCATCAAATCAATTCCAACTCATAGTGACCCTATAGGACAGGGCAGAACAGCCCTGTGAGCTTCCAAACCTGTAACTGTTTCCAGGAGTAGAATGGCCAGGCTTTCTCTTAATGCAGTGGTTCTCAACCTGTGGGTCACGACCCCTTTAAGGGTCAAATGACCCTTTCACAGGGGTCGCCTAGGACCATCAGAAAACATCAGAAAATATTTCTGATGGTCTTAGGAACCGAGATACCGCTCCTCTATCCGTCTCCAGGCGGGTCCGCCCGCATGCAGATATGCCCACCTACGAGTACCCAGCCTGAAGACTGTTACCCAGGCTATACCATGCTTCAAGACAAATTTTCATTTATTTGTCATTAGAAATAAATACTTCACAATATACAATTACATGTTGTTTTTATGATGAATCACTATGCTTTAATGATGTTCAATTTCTAACAATTAAAATGCAGGGTGCATATCAGATATTTACGTGACGATTCACAGCAGTAGCAAAATGACAGTGATGGAGTAGCAACGAAAATAACTTTATGATTGGGGGGTCACCACCACATGAGGCACTGTCCTAAAGGGTCGTGGCACTAGGAAGGTGGAGAACCACCGGCTTAAGGATTGGTGGTGGATTCAAACTGCCAATCTTCCAGGTAGCAACCCGATGCCCAAGCCACCGTGTCACCAGAACACTTGCACCCTCCTAATAAACTCACAGCCATGCAGTCGATGCCGACGCAGCGGGACCAGGTAGGACAGGGTAGGACAGCCCCTGGGGGGGTTGAGACTAACTCTTTCTGAGAGTTCTTCCCCCCACACACACCTTAAACACATTTATTGTACAGAAAGAAACCAACCTGGAGCCACTGCCGAGGACTCAGCAGTCTCCCCCTGGAGTCCCCTCGCTTCCCGACGCTCCGTCCCCCTGCCTTCTCCAGCCGCCGCCTTCCGTATGTCCGCTATCCAGAACCTCCACTCTTTCGACCCCTTTGTTGATGCAGGTAAGAGTGATGAGCTGATGCAGGTAAGAGTGATGAGCTGCTGCCTGTGGGGATGGAGGATTCTATCCGGTTAAGAATTCAACAGCACATGACAGGAAGGCCCTTACCACTGTCCAAGGGATTGCTGATGATCAGAACAAAAAGAAAGCAGTGAAGGCGCTTAAGAAGAAACTTGCCTGCAATTGAGCATCCAGAATACGGAGCAGTGACTCACCTGCAGGGTGACCAGCGCAAGCACATAGGCTAGTTCAACCTAAGGACGACCAGATGAAGGCTCGTGGGTTTTAAGTGCTTGAGGCTCACGGAAGCTGAAGTGAGGATTTCCTTGCAATGAGTAGTAACATTCCCTGTCCCTTGCCACACGTTTAAAACCTCACAGCTTGTATGATGTAACCATTTGGGGTCCACTTTTAACGTGGACTAGTGTAACTCCATACAATAAACTGAAAAGAGCCATTAAAAAGAAAGAAAGAAAGAAAGAAACCAACCTGGAAAAACTGTGTCTCGTGCCATCAATAGCAGGTAAAAAGAAACCGGCTGGCCCTGCCCAGGTGTGCACTGTGGGGGCTGCCGTTGTCTGGGGGTGCTGGGGCGTTCAGAGCGAGCGGTATGAGCAGCCCTGGCTCTCAAGGTCGCTGCAGAGGGAGAACCGAGAAGGGACGGCCTTCTTGCTCCAGAGACCATGTTGGTGAGGCCAGGAAGCCCCTACAGTCACCCTGAGGTTTGGGGAACACCAGGGTGTGGGAGTACTTCAGTGTTCTGAGTCCTGGGTGGGCAGGGCCTGGCAGCCCTAGACGAGGCCCGATCTGCCCGTCCTGGGGGCCAGCCTTGCCCTGACGAAGAAGGCATTCTGAGCAGCGTCCCACGGGGGTCTCAAATCACCGTCCAGGCACCACCCTGCAGTATTTCTGGATCCCCGGATGAGTAGCATGTTCTGAAATCTGAGCAGATGCCATCCAAGGGACACACGGGAGCTGGGCATTAATAGCAGGCTCCCTCAGGCCCCTGACGTGGCTGGCAGCTGCTGGGCCCCGTCCCTCAGTCCCAAGGCCGGCCCACTCTGGCTCAGCCGGTCACACTAAACTTAGCTCCCACTCCGACTGATACCCGCTGCCACCCTTGCCCGGCTGCCACCTGCCTCTAGAACATCGGCCACGGCGTCCTGCCCCAGGACCCCAGTATGTCCCCGACCCGAACCCTGAAGGTCCGCGTGACTCTTTTCTTCATCCTGGCTGGCGTCGTCCTGGCCCTGGTCGCCGTGGTGACTGACCACTGGGCCGTCCTGAGCCCCCACGTGGAGCACGGCAATGACACCTGCGAGATGGCCCACTTTGGCCTCTGGCGGATCTGCACCAAGCGCCTCATCCTGGGTGCCAGCGGGGACAAGAGCTGCAGAGCCTTCACCCTGTCGGGGGGTAAGGTACCCACGCCTGCCTCCCCTCCCCCCGCTCCTGGAACCCAGGGCAGCTTCCCTTGGCTCAGAGTAGCATGTGGCTGTGCTGCTGGCTGGGCAGGTGGTGGAACGAGGGCGCCTGTCTCTGGTTATTTCTATCTTACTGAGCCTTGGGGCTTTTTAGCCACCGACGAGGGCTGGGCAGACACACCCGAGGCCCCAGAAAGAAACTGCTCATCTGACCGGGTCAGTGGGTCTGCTCTCAGCAGTGGTTACCGGCCTGGGCAGGCCTGGTCCCCAGGCCCTCCCGAAGGATGAGCTGGCCCGTGACCCTTACCCCCAGGCTGACCGGCCACAGCTTCTCCCTCGGGCCTCCTGGCTGGGGCGTGTGTGGGACCAGCTACAGAAGTATCAAGTCCTGGGCTGGCGCTAATGCTAGTGCTCATGAGAGGCTGAGGGTTCGAGAGACTTCTGAAAGGGGAAGCAGGGAGGGCGCCCAGCTCTCTTCTGCTCTGCTCACATGCATGTACTGCCCAGAGGCAGAGGTGACCCTGGCCGCAGGCTTTGGAAGCCCCTGGTGGGCACAGGGGACCGACTCACAGAAGGCTGGAGGTTCGAGAGACACACACTCCACCTCACCCCAGGGTGCTATTCTCTTCAGAAAAGTCAGTCCCTGGACATCCCCTGGAGCTCAGTGCTGCTGATACAGGGAGTTACCGTGGGCGGGAATCCACGGGTGGCTGGCAGAATCCCTGGGCACAGAATGAAAAGGACAGGCCTTTTGTTGACAATCTTGACAAAATTGTAGGGCGGTCACTACAGAGCACTGGCTCAAGCCCAGGCCCCGCCAGCTCGAGGTCTGGAGCCGCCTGGGAGGCCAGCCCTGCCCTTCTCTCTGGCCCCCGTCTTTCTGCACAGCCCCAGGCCCATCCCCTGCCCTTAACTTGTCTAGAGCCCAGCCCTTAGGTTCAGGAGGCTGGCTCTGCCGCCAACAGACACAAGTCTGAGGAGCACTGGGTGGGCCTGGGCTCCGGCAGTGCACTGCCCACCAGCCCCTTAGTGACCTTGGGGAGGACAAAGCCCCTCCGGGCCCCTCTTGCCTCCTCTGAAGATGCGGGCCATGCCCAGGCCCCAGCTCATCCCTCCAGGAGGCTGGGTGGCATCCCACCCGATTGCTGTTGTCAGATAGCCACCCTTCAGGGTCTCCATGCTGTTTACACCCAGATATGCATTCTCATTCCAACCCCACACTCGGCACTGCTCCCTCCTCCCCCAGGAACCCCCAGGCTCGCCCTCCCTCCCTGCATAGCTGGAAGCCTTGTAAATACCCAGCTGTCTTGGAAGACTGTCCCAGGGCTGAAGGCCCTGATAGGCGTGGGCACATGCTACAGGGTGTCACGTAGCCAAGAGCCTACACACCATGGCCACCGCCCAGCCTCCCGTAAACAGATGCGTCCTCCACCGGGCTCTTAGGGCCAGGCTGGAAGGGGCAGGGCAGAGCAGCCTAGCCAGAGACTCACCTGGGATGCCCCCTGGTGGCCCTGCTCCCTGGCCCGTTCCCTGGCACATGCCTTTTCGTGTCTGGGATCGCAGAGCAGGTGGGTGTGGAGAGGAGGAGGAGGGGAGAAGCACTGGGAGAGGGGACTGACACCCTCAGGTGACAGACCACCCATCCACCTTTCTGCCCCCAACCAGCTGCCAGTCAGCCCCCACATCTGTCACTGAGCAGCCCCCTGCCAACAGGCCCCCGAGCCTGTTCCTGCTGCACCCCTGGCTCCCTCCTCTGGCAGGGGGAACAGGAGCCTCACCTACTCACCCAGGTACCACTAACCACAGCAGTGACGCTAGTCAGCCTACCAAGGGCCACTGTGGCCCCCTGCTGGAAGGAGCTTCTCTTATACTAGAACAAACCAGAAAAGTCAAACCCTGACTCCCAGAGACCCTACCCTGTAGGACAGAATCAACTCTCCCTATTGGGTCTCTGTTAAGGGAGCAGAAAGCCTCCTTTTTCTCCTGAGCTGCTGCTGGTGGGTTTGAACTGCCAACCTTGTGGTGAGCAGCCTGACACCTAACCCACTATGCAGAGTAAGGACTCACTGCCAACAAGACGATGCCGACGCACAGAGACCCCACAGGGCAGGGTGAAACCTCTCCTGTGAGTTTCCAAGACTGTCACTCTCTACAGGAGTAGAAAGCCTCGTCTTTGTCCCAGAGAATGACTGGTGGCTTCAAACTGCCGCCCCTGAGGTTAGCAGCTCAACTCATAACCACTCCACCACCAGGACTCCTCCTCCATGAGCGGAGGAAACTCACACAGTCAGGGGCAATGTGTGACTCCAGAAAGGGACTGGAGTCCTGTGGTCGTGGGGCCAGTGTTCACACTGAGAGCAATGGCTGAATCACTAGCCGAACCGTGCACTTTGGGGTGCTTTGATCTGCCCTATTCTTGTCTGTGGCCTTCTCTGCCACCCCAGCCCACCCACCACCCAACCCCAGCCAATAGACCAACACACAAAGAACCCGTGTGAGGATGGGCAGGACCAGGAGCTATATCCTTCGGTTGCACACAGTGGGTCTGAACCAACTGTGTAGCACCTAACAACAAGGGCTTGGGAAAGAACGAGATGTGCCTTCTTGTGTCTGGCGTATTTCACTTGGCATCTTCCATCACTGAAGTCGCCATGAGTGAGTCTCAGAACTCCACTTCCCTTCATGGCTGAACGGTGTCCCGCCCCATGTATGTATGTACCACAGTCCCCTTAGCCCTTCGTCTCTTGATGGGCATGGGGTGGTTTCCAGCGTCCACTGACTGTGACCACAGCTGCAATCAACAGTGGCAGTGGCCCAGGGTTGGTGTCCCAGAGCAGTCACTCTATCCCCACCCTACCCCCATGAACCTCCTGTGCCACCGGAATCCTTGTTCATAGCTGTCTAGTCCGTTCTGACTCACCGTGACCGCGCGGCAGCCGGCGCACTGCCCGCCCCTGCAGCATGCTGTCATGTTGATGGTCACCGTGAGTCATGTGGTCGGCACTGCTGCAAGCTGCTCACAGAGCTCACGCCTTCAATCATATCAATACGAATGGCGAAGTTATTTTGTAGAAGCTTCCTGAATTGCATTCTTAGTTACAACCTGACTGGAAACCGAGTGGAAGCCTTTTTTCATCTCTCCTTGTCCTTGAATCACGGCTTCATTCCAAAAAACGCTAGTCCCATAGCCTCACAAATAGGAGTTACCACAAGACTGTAGCTAAACCCCCAGGAGAACTTGGTAACATTGTGACCATTAAAAACACCAGCAGGCAGGCGAAACCACGGGATTCTAAGCATCCTCCTCATTGGGGAACAATGACAGCTTGGACCGGAGCTCTTCCAAACTGCTTTGCACAGGGACGATGTTGCTGGAGCACCCTTCCGGCAGCAAATGAGGTTTTCACCTTCTCCACATCCTCCCCTTCACTTGCTACTTTCTCTTTCTCTGGGAATAGCCTCATTCTGATTTGCACTCCCCTAAAGAGTAAGGAGGCGGCATGGTGGTTACGAGTTGAGCTGTGATCCGGAAAGTCAGCAGTTTGAAACCACCAGCTGCCCTGAGGGCGTACACAGTGACAGCCTCAGAAACGCACCGAGACTGTTTGACCCTGCCCAACAGGGTCTTCTGAGTCGGCACCGGCAGGGTGGCAGCCAGTTGGGTTTGCTTGAGTGCGTGGGGTCTCCAGGCAGTACAAATGGTTCAGCCGTTGACCACTCACTAAATGGTGGGCTGTCCAACCCCCACAGGAGTCCCATGGCAGAGAAACCTGGCAACCTGCTTCCAAAAGCTCACAGCAGCTGAACCCCACGGAGCCCTGGTGTTGCTCTGCATATGCCAGGTTGCCAGGGGTCAGAACCAACTGACAGCCCTTGGTTTGTGGTGTGTGTGTATGAAGATAAGGAGCCCCGGTGGAGCCCCAAGTTCCCAGTTGGGTGCTTACCCCAAGGTCGGCAGTTCCAAACTACCAACTGCTCCACTGGAGAAAGATGAGGCTTTCTATTCCAGTAAAGTTATTACTGCATTTCAGAAAGCCACAAGGGCAGTTCTACCCTGTCTTATAGGGTCACGATGAGTTGGAATTGGCTTGATGACGGTGAGTTGGGCAGTGTGTGTGTGTGTGTGTGTGTGTACACTTTTTTCCAAAAATTTTTTTGTTTTTAAATATATATTATTAATTTGGAGTTAATACATGTATCATTGTATCCCATAGTTCAATCACATCAAACAGAATTGTACAATTGCTTCCACAATCAGTTTCCAAACATGCCTTTTTTCCCCCCTGGACTCCTTGATCTTTTTTAAAATTTTTTAAAATCATTTTATTGGGGGCTCGTACAACTCTTATCACAATCCGTACATACAGCAATTGTATAAAGCACATTTGTACACTCATTACCCTCATCATTCTGAAAACATTTGCTCTCTACTTAAGGCCCTGGCATCAGCTCCTCAGATCGTTGTTTGTTTTTTTTTAAGAGATGGAAAAACTAAACACCAATTGAATTTTATTTATTTGTTTTTATTAAATACTTTTCCTGGGGACTCTTCCACCTCTTATCATAATCCATATATTCATCCATTGTGTCAAGCACATTTGGTAAACACACTTTCTACCCAAGCACCTGGCCCGCCTCAGTAGCAGGTCTCTAGAACAGAGCCTGGTGTCTACCTGGTGTAGGTCTGATAAGGCCACCTGTGCAGGCGTAGCCAGGCAACAGCACTGCCGGACAGCCGGGTCCAGCCCAGGCGCTCCGAGGCCCTTTACCTTGAGGCCCTCTGCTCTGGAAGGCTTTTAACTCCGGGACCTCAGGGCATCGGCAAGGCAGCTGACCGTGAACTGCACTTGAGCTCTGCCCATTCTTGGCAGAGGGTTTTCAATGACCACTGAAATCGGTCCTTTAAGCTTGGACCAGAAGTGTTCCTTTGTGCAGAGGGGCGACACGCAGAGACGTTTGAAATGGCACGAGCCATTTTGAAGCAGGGGCTCCAGCCCTCCCCCAAAGTTGATCGCCCTGCATATTAGAGGGAGCCCGTGTGGCTTTAAGACAGCACCGGATGCTGGGGAGGAAAAGCACAACACCAATTCTGACATCACCGCCGGCAGCCAGACACCCCAGGTACCTCAGTTCAAAAGGAAAGTGGTTTAAATATAGATGTTTATCTCACAGAGCCTGGACTTTTGGCAAACCAGGGCCAATCTCCTTCCCTAGCCTGCACCACTGACAGCGCCCTGATGCTGGCGGGAGGGAAGCCGGGAGACCAGGAGCTGAGGCAGCCGCTCAGTGATGTAGGTCAGATCCCAGGAAGACTTTCCATAAGAAACTAAGCACCCACTTCTGTGGCCTGGAGGTGGAGAGAGAAGTCAATGGCCCAGGACTCTGGTGCTCTCTGATCTGGGCAGGGTTGCCCCCTCAAGGGTCAGTGAAGAGCCCCACACAAACAGAAAGCTCTCTCCCCAAACTCACTGCATTCTGACGCAAAGCAACCCATAGGAAAAACCCTGTGGGTTTCTGAGACTGTAACTCTCTCCGGGAATCGAAAGCCTCATCTTTCTCCTGAGGAGTGGCTGGTGGTTTCAAATGGCTGACCTTGAGGTTGGCAGCCAAAAGACCTAACTCACTACATGCCATAAAAATAAAAGACAGCTTCCGTTTAGTCCAGTCTTTGTTTCTTTTGGTGAAGAGACAGACAATACCTAAAAGAGCTCATTCGTCTACTTCCTCACACCAGAGCCGAGATTATGAAACTCTATCAATAAATAATACAACTATACTGTTTATTGACTCGATCAATAAATGATGACTATGCTCTAGCTTCCTGTGTGTCTAGTTAGGAGAGGAAGGAAGACTGGAGGAGGGAAATGGAAGGAAAGTATGCCTGGAGCTAACTTTTGAGTCACCGTGAACTTGTGTTTAAAGTCCTTCTCAGACAGGGCTTTCTAGGCCGGTAAAGGTTTGCCGACTTGGAGACCCATGGGGGCAGTTCCACCCTGTCCTGCAGGGCCGCAAGGAGTCGTCATCGACTCCGTGGCAGTGAGTTTGGTTTGGGGCTTGAAACTACTGTGGATTGCCGGAAGAACAAACACACCTGTCTTGAGAAAAATATATACAACACTCCTCCACTGAAGTTCTCCCTCAACGCAAGAACACTTTGTCCTATTAAGCTGGCATTCCATGATGTTCACCTTCCCAATGCAATTGCTGAAGAGAAAGCGGGTGCAAAAGCAAATGTGGTGAAGAAAGCTGATGGTGCCCGACTACCAAAAGAGATAGCATCTGAGATCTTAAAGTCTTGAAGGTAAACAAGCGGCCATCTAGCTGAGAAGCAACAAAGCCCACATGGAAGAAGCACACCAGCCTGTGTGATCACGAGGTGTCGATGGGATCAGGTATCGGGCATCAAAGAACAAAAAAATCTTATCATAGTGAATGAGGGGGGAAGTACAGAGTGAGAACCCAAAGCCCATCTGCAGGCAACTGGACATCCCCTTACAGAAAGGTCTCAGGGAGGAGACAAGCCAGTCAGGGTGCAGTGCAGCAATGATGAAACATACAATTTTCCTCTAGTTCTTTAATGCTTCCTCCCCGCCACTATCATGATCCCAATTCTACCTTACAAATCTGGCTAGACCAAAGGATGTACACTGGAACAGGTAAGAGTTGGAAACACAGGGAATCCAGGACAGATAAACCTCTCAGGATCAGTGGTGAGAGTGGCGATACTGGGAGGGTGGAGGGAAGGTGGGGTAGAAAGGGGAACCAATCACAAGTATCTACACGTAACCTCCTCCCTGGGGGATGGACAACAGAAAAGTGGGTGAAGGGAGACATTGGACAGTATAAGACATGACAAAATAATAATAATTTATAAATTATCAAGGGTTCGTGAGTGATGGGGGGCGGGGAGGGGGTGGGAAAATGAGGAGCTGATACCAAGGGCTCAAGCAGAAAGCAAGTGTTTTGAGAATGATGAGGGCAGCAAATGTACAAATGTGCTTGACTCAATGGATGGATGGATGGATTGTGATAGAGTTGTATGAGGCCCCGATAAAATGATTAAAAGAAGAAGAAGAAGTGAGGATGGTGGGACTTTGGACGTGGAAAAGGACACCAGGCTTGATGACAGGTGAAAAGAGAAGCCCTTTCATGAGATGGTGGCCCCTGGGCTGCCACCATGGGTCCCACATAGCAAGGTTGTGAGGTTGGCGCAGGATGGCGTTCTGTCCTGCTGTGCATGGGGTCCTAGCAGACTCCATGGTGCCCAACGATTGTCGGCACATCTTCCTGAGCTTTGTTGGCATGACCAGATGGGCACAGCAGCGGGTCTAAGTCAATGACATGATGGTCCCAGCCAGCCCTGTCCCCAACCCCATCCAGTTGGCCCTCAGAGAAGCCCTCCTCCAGGGGTCAGGAGTGGGACATTCTAACCAGGCTGGGCAGCAGCATCTCAGGGGGTCCTGTTGAAAAGCAGGGTTGGACAGGTGGCCTGGCCACCAGAGCCCATCTGGCTGAGAACGGTGGTTCTGCTGACCGTGGAGCCGGTACCCATTGTCTGTCTCAGCAACTCAGCTCCCCTTGTGTTTGGGCCAGTCCACCTAGGGAAAGTCTGTAGGGAAGGTGTGATGTCCTTTCTAGGCCAGCTTCAGGGTTGGGGGAGGAGCCAGGTAAAGGAGACCTTGCCTGTCCCTTGGCCGAGCCTGGGTCCCTTGGTCTTCCTCTCACCTGCTGTCTCCCTCCTTTGCAGAGAAAAACTGCTCCTACTTCAGGCATTTTAACCCTGGAGAGAGCTCGGAGATCTTCCATATCACCACTCAGAAAGGTGAGCCCTGGGGGGTGGGGGAGGGAGGTGAGGTCACCACAACTTCTGGATTCCACCCGTCCTGATGGGTATGACCAGAGGGCATGCTGTCCTCTGCATCTGGAGGACCAGGGTGGCAGCACCGGGTCCCCAAGCGCCCAGAACCCAGGGTCAGGGTCTGGGGAGAGTTTGCAGGAGAGACGCTTCCCATAAGCTTGGAGATCCTTCTGCATTGCCTCCACACCCCAGGGTGCTGTTGTGCCGGGCTTTGGAGTTAGAACAGGCACGCCAATCCCTCGTGGCTTTCAAGGGGGCAGCGGCAGTCTGTGGGGACAGGGGCTCGATCATCCCCAGAGAGACAAAGGAGGGGAGTGGAGGTGTGTGCAGTCCCCCAGCCCCTCTGCTCCTGGGGCTCAGCCACGTCTGAGGCTGTGAACACAGACCTGGGCCTGCGTGTGTGCAGATGCCTGCCAACGGCACACACTCACACCCACACACACCCACACACTCTCACACACACTGCTGAATCCTTACAACCACACATGCTAATGCACTCACACACTCCGACACACACACACACACATACACGCGCACACACACTGTTGAATCCTTACAGGCACAACCACACATGCTAATGCACTCACACACTCTGACACACACACTGTCATAAATCCTCACACACATGGTTGCACAGCTACACACCCAACCACTTCACTCACTTTGACACTTCACTCACGTGGCACACACACGCTGCTAAAGCCTTAGGCAAATGGT